TTTAAAAGTTGCTGTTTGCATCACTCATAGAAGCTTACTTTCCAAAAGAAGATTTGCAATTTTTTCACTGTCAAACACTCACCACCAGTAAGTGAAAATGTATTTACGACAAAGCACCGTGGTGAGAAAGACAAGCTTTAATGAGTATCTGAAACCGTAGCTCATCACACATATACACTCGAAAGTGTGCATGCGCAGAAAAAGATCGCTCTTTAAGGGCGAGTACGTAGCACGGCCTTACGGAAACATATCACCAGGATGATTGACAATTAGGAGGACCATTTATTTAGATGATCCACCTGGAAAAAGAACATCCTCCACTACACCTTTAACACCCTGCATTTCTGCAAATATCTTTGAATCCTAAAATGCTTAGAAACACAACCTAACCGTTCTGCGAATACACTTTGGCATCTCTTTAGGAAGCTTTTTGGCTGTAAATAATACAGTTTGATTATTATCTCCCTGATGTAAATACCCATGCAAATGCATATCCTTAATTCTAAAGCTTAGTGGGAGAAAAACAGAAAAACAAACACCCCCTAGCATGGCACTGCATCTCAACTGTAGTTGAGTCAATTACTTTAGGAGGGTGGATACGTTTATGTATTTTGCCCACTTGGGAGCCTACTTCACTGAACAATGTGGAAAATACACATTCCAGTTTCCAAGGTAAAAAGGCCCCTTCTTGTAGCAGAGCCAGGCTTTGCATCACATTATGCACAAGTATAGAAGCGATTGATGTCTGAAATGGCATTATGAAGTGATGAGACGAAATGGATGGAAACTCTTAGTATTCCTCTGTAGACCTCAGTGTGTTCCTGTGGCTTGTGTTTAAAAACTGCAATTGTTTTCTGCCCCATTTCTAAGGGCAAGGGGTCCATTTGCTTTCCCTTTTTTTCGTTTAGTCGACTACTGTCATTTTTTAAACATCGACTGAGGTGGACTCTCCCCAAGCACTTTACTCTAGTTATATGCACAATGAAACCTATGAAACGGTTGGTAATTTTGCCATATTAAAGCTTTTTAGCTGTTTTTATACATTGCATTGCTTTGAAAAGAGCAGATAAATTTCCTTAGATTTAGCATTTAAAGCATTTACTGCTCAGACCATTTTAATTCAATATGGCTAACTATAACCATGTGTGAACAAAGCTTATCTTTTGCTTTTATTAGTCTGTCTGCTTTAAAAAAAACTGTTAATGCTTTTGTTTAGATGGTACTAAAATAGACAATCTTCTTGTTTTTTGACTATATTCTTACTGTGTTGTTTTTTTTTGTAATAGTCTGTTTTTCGTGTTCTTATACCTGAAACTGAAAATAGGTATATTACCTCATCTTAGTTTTCTTTCTTCTTTTTTTTTACATTTAACACCACATGACTGTAGTTGCTACATTCAACACTGAATAACAATAAACACAGATTTATTTAAGCGGATTTTAGTCAGCTGTTTGGTATAAACCATCTAGCCCATTTATGTCATCAGAGACTGGTCAGTCTACACAGGATGAGACTCTAAACTAGGGGAGAGATCCTAGCCCATCTTTATGTAGGCAGCAGACCTCTTGAAAGCCTAATGTACGACTGGCTCCTTTCAAATAAGGACTAAAAACTTCACAGTTTGCTGCAGCTTCTCTGGGAAGAGGGAAGTATTTTCCTTTATTCGAAGTTTTTCTCATATTAATTAAGTTCTAAATTTACAATTCTTGTAATTCTTGAATTTTGCTGTTAGTGTTTTATTTTGTTTCTTGGAAGTTCTTTAAAGATATAGTGGAGGATTTTTGTGAATTTTTGAAAAGACCCACCCTTTACACTTAAAAAAAAAAAAAAAGATATACACAACACTGTACTTGCTTCCGAGAGTGGACGCCTATTAAACACATGTGAGAGCGTGCACGAGCCCACCCACATCCTTGTGCACGCTCTGATTTAAAGTCTCTATTTGCATTGCTCATACAAGCTTACTTTCCTAAAGAAGATTTGCAATTTTTCCACAATTTCAGACTCGCCACCGGTAAGTGAAAATGGGGACGAGCACGAAGGACGGTCTTACGGAAACATATCACCAGAATGATTGACAATTAGGAGGACCAGTTATTTTGATGATCCACCCAGAAAAAGAACATCCTCCACTATACCTTTATATTGCCCTCTGTACAACTAGTGTAAGCAAATTAATTTGCATCTCTACATATTTTTTTTTTTTGTCTATAGTTGCTCTTTAAAACTTTTAGACCTTTTTCCAGTAAAGTGCCAGTTGGCTGATTTCCATCACTTCCATCCATCCATCCATCCATCCATCCATCTTCTTCCTCTTATCAGGGGTCGGGTCGCGAGGGTAGCAGCTTCAGTGGGGAGGCTCAGACGTCCCTCTCCCCAGCCACTTGGGCCAGCTCCTCTGGCGTTATCCCAAGGCTTACCTAGTCCAGCCGAGAAACAGTCCCTCCAGCATGTCCTGGGTTTCCCCCGATCTCCTCCCGGTGGGACATGCCTGGAAGCCAGGGAGCGGTCCGGGAGGCATCCTGACCAGATGCCTGACCCACCTCAAATGGCTCCTCCCGAAGTGGAGGAGCAGCCTTCTTCCAGTCATTTCCCGAAGCTCATGACCATGGACCATTTCTACCACTTATCAAGTGATTTTTTTTTTTGTAGGTACAGCAATAAAAATGATCTACACATGTCATCTCAAGGCACTTTACAGAGACAAATAAATCAAATCAGATGGAGAGGTTAGGTAAACAAGTGTCTGGGATCTAAGCAATCCCAGCTGACTGCATCAAGCCATTGATTTGCATTTTTCCCTCTTCATGGATGAGCAGATAGCAGCAACAGTGGACTGTTGCCTGCATCGTATTGTTGACCTTGCACTTTGCAGCTATTTCTTATATCAAATAAGACTCAATGAGAGAAATTTAAGTTCACACTCTTAAAAAACATGTTCTAGGAATCGGCATCCAATGATTAGAACTTTGTTTCCAAAAATTCCAGTAACTTCATCATCATTTTTGTGTCGTTTTATTTTAAACATAGCTCAAATGTCAACTTTGTTTGGCAAAAAAAAAAAGAAAATAAGTTAATTATTAAACAAAATGCATTTCTTGATGGGTTTGTTAAATGTAACGCATAAAAAATAAGATTTCCTCATAGATAATGAAAAAACTCTCTAATGTTATAATACCTTTTATTTATATGTCCAAACTCAGAATTTTTAAATCTGTGTAGCAATAACCTTTTTACATCTCTAACAGCGTTTTTATCTTAAAAAACAAACAAAAACAAAGCCACTTAAGCTAAATACAATTAATGTTTTCTTTAACAGACACATTTTCATATATGTATGGACGTGGATGGTTGAAATTAATTAGAGCAGCATTAGCTCCCTTTTAACTTTTTAACATATAACTTTAATGTTTGCTTTTGGAAGCTCTTGTGTAATAGAACAATACAAAGTAAGAGATGTTGTTATATGGAATAAAAAGTGTAACATAGTGATGAATATTATTGACAATAAAGAAGTTTGCCACTCTATTGTAAATAATTCAGACTCGTTTAAATCGAATAAATTTAGATGACATCTGTGAGCATAAATTATTAATTCTTCCCAAATATTGCTAACTGGATTTATCTCTGGACTTTGAATCCATCCTAGCACTTGAAAATGTTTTGATCTGAACCAGGGTTCCTCATTCCAAGCCCTCTAGGCTGCACCTTTAAGATGTGTCTCTGCTACATTGGCAGGACTCTGAAGAACCCGACTGTAACCGAGGAGGTAATTTAGCCATTTGATTCAAGTGTTAAACCCGAGACGCATCTAAAAGGTGCAGGACACCTGACCTGGAGGACTGTAACTGAGAGACCCTGATCTAAACCATCCCGTTTATAGCCCCATTTACACTATGCTCTGAAAACCGATCTGTGCCAAGCTTGGATCAGTTAGCAGAACAAGTTTGGTTCCTCACGACCATTTACACGCCGCACTAGCACGGTTCCTCCTAGTACCTTGTACCTCCTAGTGATGATCTATGCTACTGCTGCTCTCAAAAGGGAAACAATCAAACCAACACAGGGCTCTCCGTAACATTCAGAAAGTTTGGTTATAATTGTGATATTTCATTGTTTGCAGAGAGTCAGGCGTAGAAGGCAGTCTTTGGTGGATTTACTTGACAGAGTCGGCTTTTCGGACGTAGATACGACAAACAATAATCTGATCAGGGCTTACAGACAGGAAACAAATACGTATGTTGAGGTTCATCACAATGCTAAGTAGAATCATCACTGGAAAGCTAGTATTTTTAACTGAGCCAGAACTGAGCCGTGCCAAGCCCTACTGATGAACCAGTTTAACACGATGCGGTTCAGTTTTTCCGTCAGTTTTGTGTGCCATTTACACTCTACTATCTTGGTTACCATGCTCAGAATAATATCTGCATGGTGTCAAAAGGGTAGTGTAAATAGGGCTTTAGTGTCTGGGTGTATGGTGATGGTTGGATCCCACTAAAATGGTAACCTTTAACCCTAATCTTAAATCTTTTGCAGCCTCCAACAGGTTCTCCTCTCTAAGGTTATTGTTTTTAATCTCAGTCAAATGTGTTAAAAAAAAAACCTTTAAAAAGCTACTCACCGAACTACCCCACAACATAATGCTGTCAGCACCGTGTTTAGCCATAGATATTGTTGTTCACTGGTCACATACAGTGTTTATCTTCAGCAACAAGAAGCAATTTGCATAAGGAAAAACGATTAAGGTTTCTGCCACAATTTATAGATTGACAGAAACGGCTTCTGATTGCTTTAACAACAAAATAAATTACTTCATCTTCCTATCTATTCAAAACTTTGGTCTATCTATCACATCTGTTCCAAATAAGACATTCTGTGAAAAGCATTACAAATGTGAAAAAGAAAACTTCTGTATGGTACTATAAGAAAGTTAAATAAGGAGTTTGAAAAAATGAAGCTGTTAACTTTATCTTAACTGACAGGTCTGTTCTTATTTCAGATTTGAAGAAATCGTCAAGAGAAACAAAGTTGAATACCACGCCGGTGGCTCTACCCAGAACTCAGTGAAAATCGCTCAGGTTAGTCATCTTTGGCTTTCTACAGTGTGCCTGAATGTGTTTTGAATATACAGTGGTATGGTTGTAACCTTAGATTTGTCAGCCTGGCAGCCTTGGGAATACACTGCATAGCTGCACGGCACATTGACACATTACAGCTCTAGCTTTTGTGAATTCATCAGACCTGCCACGGAAAAGGGAAAGGCGGGCAGGATTAATAATATTTACAGTGTTATCTAGTTGGCCTAATTTCCTGAGACATATCAAGCATCAATTAGAGAGAATTACAACTAGATGCAATTAACGTGTCACAACAAATTATATCTAACAAATGCCGATCTTCTCCCTGGCTGTTAGACAGATTTGTGTATCTAAAAGGAATCGGTGATTGTTCAAATCTAAAATGACAATCTGAACTTTCAAAGATTATTTACTAATTCCATTTTTCTTCTAAAGTGACTGCGGCAAGTCTTTGAATTTGACATGCAGTGATTAGCTGCTGATAAGGCTCGGGTCTGCTCACAGTAAACAAAGAAAAGGCATCCAGCTGAAAAATAATTCCCTTCCAAGGAGGGGGAAATGAGTTCAGAAGCTAATTGAGAGGCTGATGCCTGTTAAAGGTAGCAACTCTTTCTTGTGTGTGTGTGTGTTTACAAGTGCATGTGTTTTTATTTTATTTTTCTGAGTGTTGGTTTGGCATGCAGAGTTTGCATATATACCCATGTGTGTGTTTGTGTGTATTTATCAAAAGACAGAGACAGAGCAGGGGAAAAGAAAGTAGGCAGGCCCTCAGGCTGGCACCATCTCTACGCTTTAGAGACAGTAAACATCTTTTAAAAAGAGATGCGTAGCAGTGCACCTCCACAAAAACACTCTTTAATTATCAAGATCATAAGCCTTTTGCTTAAACTCGGTCTCTTACAGACGTTAAATGTCAACGAGATTTTACTCTCTGGGCAAAAACTCCCCCTATTTTAAAGCCTGGGCCTGCCTGATGCAAGACTAAGCTCTATTTTTTTTTATGTGTTGAAGTATAATCGCTAAATTTTTCACTAGGAAGCCATTTCCTTTTCTTGTTTGTCTTGAAACTGGGAAGACGTATACATTACATTCTCTGATCTATCTCTGTTAAGACATCCATGTTGACAATGATTGTTTCATCTTTTATTTAAGTGAACACTACAGGAATTGGCCCCAAGCTGCAGATCAAGTCCCATGTGAAATTAGATGGCAAAGGAGATTTTTATTGCCGGCCCTAGCAGACGAAGAAGGACCCGTCATGGCCCTTCTTCTCTCTGTGCCCCGAGAGAAGTGCTCAGTAGACTAAATTGGTCTCATAACAGCATAGCAGGCCCTAGTCAAATGTTATTCTACTCTGTTTATTTGGATATTTACCCCCTTCTGAGGGAAGATGTAGAGCTGATTCTGAAAAGCTCGAGATAACAAGAGTGTTTTCGTCCCACACCCCGAAGTCTCAGAAGCGGTTTCTGTCAATATATACCTTCAAGCACTGACTTTTTCCACATTTCACTTTGAGTTTATAGTCTTCTTTTATGAAAAAAAATGTATAATGCATAACCAGCTCTCGGATTATCACATTGTAGCACCTGCAATATGTGAAACTTCAAACCCTCACTGTATTGTGGAAGCTGAACCTTCAAACACAAATGATATGCACCGCAGCATTGAATCCACATCAAAGGGGCCCGGGCGACTAAATGAGATGCTCGATCCAGGGGCAGGTTTGCTCACCATCGACTGCTGGAGGAGGGAGAGAAGTGTTCAGAGGCTTTGCACAGGAATCGTTGTACATGCTGGGAAAAACCCAAGGTGTGGGAGGATCAATGCCTTTGCCTGTAGAACTCATACTTCCCTTCAAATACGCAGCCAGCTCATCCGAGGCAGTGATAGGTTAAATGCTGCCGTTTCATCCGAGTTAAGATTTCAAGCAAAACCTATATGTCGCTATTAGGAAAATACACAATCAATGCTAAGTGGATTTAGGTGAATTATAATTAACTAATTAGAAGCTTAGAAGGATAGAGTGCTTATATAGAGCTCATTGCCCTTGAACTCTTAACATTTTGTGACATATTGTGTTTTTATTGAGTAGAATCTCTGTCTTCTGTGATCAAAACTGAAAGGTAACTCTCCCCTCAGTTTTCCACTTCAAAACAATTTAAAAAAACACTGGTATATGCCACTGGTCTTAGTTGGATTTATGTCCAAAAATTAACTAAATAATTCTAAAAAATGAAAACATTAGAATGGGTGTGGAAAGAAATGAGAGGTTGGAAAATATCTGATCTTCTGCACTTTTTTTTTTTTTGGTGGCTCTGTGACTGCTGCCATTGAATCACACAAACCGCTGACAGAAACACAGGGCATGAGACCGTTCATACGAAGTAAATGGCGGTTAAAAAACGCATGCGTGTTACAAAGGTAAGTAATCGAAATCGTAAAGAAGAAGCTTGCATGTATGCACTTAGATGTAAAACGAGCATTCTCTAATTCTTTTTTTTCTCCCACTCTGAACCTGGACTAAAAAAAAAAAGCAGTTCATGCTCTCCCACAACACTGACTTTGTTTGGATAACCAACTTAAAAGACAAAATACCTTTGAATTCCACCTAATCATGTCTCTGTGTGGATGGGGCCTAAATTGAATCATGTGCAAAAAAAGTGGTGAAATAAACCAGCCAATTATTTTCTAAGAATTAGTCTATTTCACAGCTTTTTTGGCCCATGTTGTTTCATGATTAATGGTACTTAAAGTTCTTCAGAAAATTTGCTACTTGGATGTTTGGATTGCAATTAAGGAAAATTTTAAATTGAAGTCTGGAAGTAGCATAGGACTGTGTTTGAAACCTTGTATGTTAAGGACCTCCTCTATTAGCTCCATCTTAATGTCAACTCTGACCAGATATCCAATCCCTGCTACTACCTCCACCATGTTTCACCATTGGAATAGTGTTTCATTGTGGCATTTTCTTATGTCTTGGTCTTTACCAGAGCATTTTTTCCACATACTTGCTTTGTCAGCTATTTGGCAGGCAATTTAAAACAACTTTGTGAATAGCTTTGTTCTTGTCCTCTTTCTCAAAAGCTAGAATTATTAATCCATTGTTATTCTTTACTTTTTGAGGATTAACATCCTTAGTCATGCTCAGGTTAGCATTTGTGACATTCTAGGGTTCCTAAAGTACAGTGAAGAAAATAAGTATTTGAACAGCAAGTTATTCCACTTAGAAATCATGGAAGGGTCTGAAATTGTCATCATATGTACATGTCCACTGTGAGAGACATAATACAAATCCACAAATCACAATATATTTTAGTTTTTAAAACTATGTATTTGTATGATAATGATGCAATGAAGTATTTAAACACCTTGGAAAATCAATGTTGATATTTGGCACAGTAGAATTTGTTTGCAATTAAAGAGGTCAAGTGTTTTCTGTAGTTTTTCACCAGGTTTGCACACACTGCAGGAGGGATTTTGGCCAAATCCTTCATACAGATCTTCTCTAGATCAGTCGGGTTTCTGAGAAAAAGTTTGAGCTCCCTCCAAAGATTCTCTATTGGGTTTAGTCTGGAGACTGGCTAGGTCACTTCAGAACCTTGATATGCCTCTTCCAGAGCCACTCCTTGGTCATCCTGGCTGTGTACTTCGGGTCATTGTCATGTTGGAAAAACAGCCTTGACCCACTTCAATGTTCCAGCTGATGGAAAGAGGTTGTTCCCCAAAATCTTGCAATACATGGCTCTGTTCATCTTCTCTTTAATACAGTGCAGTTGCTATGTCCCATTTGCAGAAAAAAACCCCAAAGCATGATGCTACCACTCCCATGCTTTACAGTAGGGGTGATGTTCTTGGGATGGTACTTATCATTGTTCTTGCTCCAAACACGGTTAGTAGAATTATGATGAAAAAGTTCTATTTTGGTCTCATCTGACCAAATGACTTTCTCTGATGACCCGTCGGGATCCTCCAAATGGTCATTGTCAAAAGTAAGACGGGCCTTGACATGTGCTGGTTTAAGCAGGGGAACCTTCTGTGCCATGCATGATTTCAAACCATGACGTCTTAGTATATTACCAACAGTAACCTTGGAAACGGTGCTCCCAGCTTTTTTCGGGTCATTGAACAGCTGCTCTGATGCAGTTCTGGGCTGATTTCTCACCTTTCTTAGGATCATTGAGGCGGACAGGTGTCTTTATGCAGCTAACAACCTCAAACAGGTGCATCTAATTTAGGAAAATGAATGCAGTGGAGGTGGATATTTTGAAGACAGACCAACAGGCCTTTATGGGTCAGAATTCTAGCTGATAGACAGTTGTTCAAATACTTATTTGCAGCTTTATCATACAAATAAATAGTTTAAAAAATCATATATTGTGATTTCTGGATTTTTTTTTTTTTTTTTTTAGATTATGTCTCTCACCGTGGACATGCACCTACGATGACAATTTCAGACCCTTCAATGATTTCTAAGTAGGAGAACTTGCAAAATAGCAGGGTGTTCAAATATGTATTTCCTCACTCTAGATGCATTTCAGTGCATTTCAACATCCCTTGCTGAATAAACCCTAGATCTTGTTTGGATCAAATTGGTAAACTCACACACACGCAGAGCTATCTGGTTCTGCTTCTTTGTAAAGAAAAAGTGCTACAGTATGATAGAAAGTTGTGGATTGGAACTTGTTGCCTTTGCCCTGGCTCTTACAAACACCATGCCCTGTGGGGCCATCCTACATAAAGGCTTACTTACTGGATGTTGCAGAGCTGTGAGGTAACAAAAACCAGCCTCGTGTTGCCTGCTCAAACGCAGCCACACACATCAAAAGGTCTGAGCTCCGACAGAGGGCAATGGAAAACAACAATCATATATTTTTTTTCTCCAGTTATTTACAAAACTGTGGCTTTTCTGAGCATGTGATCCAAATTTTGGTACTTCTGAGCACTCGTGGTGTTTATCACAGGTGACAGAATTGGTGGGGGGAGTCAGTTGACTGGAGGGC